TGCCATCAGAATTATATTTCAGGGTATAAACCCATCTGCACCCTACCGCTTTCTTTCCGTTGGGTCTATCAATAACCTCCCATGTTTTATTTTTCTCCAAAGCATTCATCTCCTCTTGCATGGCTTGAGCCCAATTCCTATCTTTCAAGGCTTCATGTACTGATTTTGGGATTGCAATAGAATCTAGTGCTGAAACAAAGCTTTTGTGCTGCACAGAAAGATTAGCAGAGGAAACAAAGTGGGAGATAGGGTATTGAGTACAAGAGGGACAGGAGGAACAAGTTTTCTTGTGACAAGATCTTTTTCCTTTTCTAAGAGCAATAGGTAAGTCATCAGAAGTAGAAGCAATGGGTAAGTCATTAGAGATATCAGAAGAAATAGACAAATCATGAGAGGAAATAATATTAGAATCAGAAACAGTAGATTCAGAAGAAATAGGAGATTCAGGACTTACCAGTGGTTTCGACGATTGAGGTTGCTGGTGAGACAGTATGAGTTGTATCTCAGGTGTATTTGAAGGTTCTGACACACCAGGAGCAGACACACTAGGAAGAGAGAAGATTGATCCAGACTTAAAGAAAGAAGAGGACGAGTCTTCTGAAGAACTATTCTCCCCCTGACGATGAGGACCCAGGAAATAAGATTCAGATTCTTGAAAGGTGACATCCATAGAAACAAAAAATTTCCGACTTGGTGGATGATAACACTTGTACCCTTTTTTATAAGGGTTATAACCAAGGAAGACACACTTAAGAGCCCTAGGATCCAACTTACTCCGATGTTGTTTATGAACATGGACAAAGGCAACACATCCAAACACTATTGGTGGAAGGCTCTGCAATATGGGAACAGAAGGAAAGAAGGAAGTCATGGAATGAATAGGACTGATATTGTTAAGGACCCGTGAAGGTAAACGGTTGATCAAAAAAGTTGCAGCTAATACTGCTTCTCCCCAATAAGAACTAGGAACAGATGTCTGAAAAAGTAGTGCTCTAGCAACTTCAAGAAGGTGACGATTTTTCCTTTCAGCAACCCCGTTTTGTTGAGGGGTATCAACACATGTGAGCTCATGAATCATACCTCTGTCTGAAATGAATTGTGACAGGCGTTGATTGACGTACTCAGTACCATTATCAGATCTGAGTCTTTTAATACCCTTACCAAACTGAGTCTCAACCATGTGATGAAACCGAATAAATATCTCGGGTACTTCAGACTTGTCTTTCATCAAGTATATCCATGTTATCCGAGTACAATCGTCAATAAAAGAAACAAACCACCTAGCACCTGAAACACTGTGCACTTTAGAAGGGCCCCAAACATCAGAATGGATAAGAGAAAAAGGTTCTCTGCTTTTAATAGTGCTAGAAGGAAATGACACTCGATGGTGTTTTGCAAATTCACAAACATCACAATGAAAGGTCTCAACCGACTTATTGAGAAACAGAGAGGGGAACATAGACTTCAAAAGACTAAATGGTGGATGCCCGAGACGCTTGTGATGGAGCCAAATCATAGACTCTGCAGTAGAAGGATGACGTGTCATTAATAACTGATTTTTGCTAGCATGGTCTGGAAGGAGATGATACAACCCATCCTGTTCATTAGCAACTCCAATTGTCTTCTTCGTGGTAAGATCCTGAATAAGACAATGAGAAGGAAAAAATGTGATAGAACAATTCAAATCAGTTGTAAGTTTTTGAGTGGAGATAAGATTAGTAGAAAGCTGAGGAACATAAAGAACATTTTTAAGAAACAAGGAAGGTTGAATTTGAATGTTACCAGAACCAATAACTGATTTATGGGATCCATCAGCTACGGATATAGTATGACTACCAACAGTAGGATGATAAGAACAAAATAACTCAGTACGACAAGCCATATGATCAGTTGCACCAGAATCCAAAATCCATGAGGTTTTAAAATCAGTGCAAGAAGCAAGAAGAGATATAGAACGTGTGCTCTTACCAGATAAGATCGAAGAACTATCATGCTCAGCCATTCTTTAACAAAAAAAGTTAACAACCAGCAATAAAATCAACCAAACAGAATATCAATTGACCTCTGATCAGAAAAATAATTAAAGATCCAGACAGAAGAAAAGAAGACGAGAAGAATGGTGGTGGTCCGGTCCAAAAACACGGCCGCACGCGCCTCCACGCGCCGGAGAAAGGAGCTGCGCGTGGGATTCACTCGCCGGGAAAGGGGCGGCGCGTGAGAGCGCGTGGATGGGCTTCGCCGGCTGAGATTTTTCTGGTGTGGTCGTCCGGTGAGCGCACACCTGTCTGTGGGTGGTCGCGGTTGAAAAGTCGCCGGAAAGTGGTCCAAACGGTGAAGACAGATCTGATTGGAGGCGATCGGAGGTGTTTCGGTCGTTTGTGGCGGAGGAACACTGCGTAGAATGATAGATCGGAGGAAAAATAAGGTCAACAATGGTCCCCTTGGTCCAAAAGGTCCCCGGAAAAGAAATTAGGGTTTTGTTAAAAAAGAAGATAATATGTGCGGAAGCAAAGCCCTCAGATCGAGAGCTCTGATACCAACTTGAAAAAGGGTATTCTAATATATTATAGAATTGTAAATAATCTGTACAAAGGGTTCTCTATTTATAGAGAATATTTGACCTACTTTTAACCTAATGGGCTTGGCCCAATACAACAAAGGGCTTGGCCCAATACAACAATAAATGACTAAATAAAAACTAAATAATAACTAAATCAATATTATTTACAACAGTTTTATACATTGCTTCCTATAATAAAAGTATATATCAGTTTCATTGGGAGGGTGTTTTTAGTTTTGAGCAATTCTTATCAACATCAACAACACTTTTATCCCAATCTAGCGGAGTTGGTGGTAATTTTGGGTAAATCTTATAGCCATGAAAATAAGTCCATCAATGTTATGACTTATGATCAGAGTAAACTACCAAATATGATAAATTATATTTTTACGATGTATAGCCAAAATTAGTCCGAGCTAGTATAAGCGTAGCGATTAATCTTTTGTGTCAGAGATCACCTCCCAACTGTGTCTAGCAGAACTCAACATCAATTTATTTGAGACGTGTTAGAAACTTATATTTTCAATAAGTGACTATTAAAATTGGCCAGTTAGCAGCAAGTGATTCTATAATCATTGACATTAATGTAAGCATTCAACAAAACCAACTCATTTGTGCGATGACAATCAGAGAGTTGGTCACGAGGTCATTTCTATTTGCAAGCCATTCTCCATAATTTACTCCACTTCTAGTGTAGCTGCAATTGCTATAAGCTTTTCACTGCTTCTAGAGCATGACTAATCACCTTCACGATATATATACATATATTTTTTTCCCTCCAAAGCATCACTGATTCTTTGTAAAAAAATGATTTAGGCTTGTCACTAACTTGGAACTTCTGTAGTCTCCGGAAATTGAGACAGATGCAGTCTGCAGCAACCGAATTAGTTACTAAATGGACTGATTATGCAGTCATTTTCTATTCAAAAGTTGGAACAAGTTGCTCTCACTCTCAAACCAACCCAAGATTGATGGAGAACTTGAAACAGATCTACATTAGAATAGATTGGTTACACCTAAGAGGTTGGTGATAAAATTGACCCAATTCTTGCACACATATATATATATATATATAGGGTTAGGATCATTTTACACCAGTGTAAGTTACACTCTCAATTTTATCCGTTGATCCCACTTATATTTAAGGGCTCTAATTTTTTAGTAACTTGAGCCGTTGGATACAAGTGGATCAATGCTCAAGATTGAGTGTAAGACTTCTAACTCTTACACCGGTGTAAGAATATCCTGCCCCATATATATATATATGGGGAGGGATATTTTGACTGCAGAATAAGATTTTTAAGTCTTATTCTCTATCTTAACCGTTGCTTTTCGCTTATCTAAATGTTATAGTTTAGGAAGTCATACTAATTAATTAATTATTAATTACATTATAAATAACAACTTTTAATTTTCGTCCCTCAACAACTGAGATGAGAAATAAGACTTATAAATCTTAATCTAGAGTAAAAAAAAAATCCATATATATATATATATATATATATATAAAATAAGAAGGCTTGTTCAGTGGCCCAGAGCACTCTTTGGGTACACGTTGGCGATTAGAGTACACATAAAAACTAAAACATGCTGCAGGCCTTTTATTGATTTTTATTAAAGCAGTTATGCTCTGGTATAATTCAAAATATGGGAGAAGTGTATATTTAAAAGAATATCATACCAGCTGGAGAAGTTCAAGTAACTGAAATTTATTTGAGTAATCAATTGAGTTTACCAGCAAAGTATATCATTTAAGTTATTGTTAGTTGTAAAGTTGTGGCAGATCATGACATGTTGCCAAATCCTTTAGAAATATCCTCAAGGCAATAATTAGATTTATATATAACAACTGTTCTTACCTTTCAAGGCATGAATAAGTCTTACCCATAAGAATCATCATTTCTTTCCCATCTACTTTTCTTTTTCTTTTCTTTTTTTTCTTTGGGACGGGGATGGTAGATGTCTGCCATATAAGTAATTTTCATAATAAAAGATAACATGTCGTTTTTTCCTTAACACCCCATTCCCTAGTTAAAGATGGATCAAATCTTTTTTTTTTTTTAAGTTCTGAACTTGACATTCAATCTCAAATCCACGTAATCACCACAGGAAACTTTTACTGAACTAGAAAACTTCTTCCACATCACCATTTTTAACATCCTACTTCGTTGAAAGCCCAATGATCCTTTATGGGTAGTTGGCACTCAGAACCAACCAGCAGAGCCGAAGGGGTTGGTGCCAATGCTGAGATTAATGTGTTGCGTTTTGCTCAGCAGAGAAACATGGACAACATGGCAAGAATCTAATACTGTAAAGTTGGCAGTCATCAATATACTCTCGAACTTTTAATACACTTCATCTTCAAGTTTTACTCAAAAATATATCTAAACCACATAAGCATAGGAGGACAATACAGTAAATAGAAGAAAGCAAATGGAGCATTACAAATTTTAAAGTTTCTTACTCAACTCAGAATTTGTGCTACAAATGAACTGCAAAAAGAATTCCCACGGATAGGGATATATATAAAAAGAGCAAAAAATGAAAAGAATGCCAAGATATAAAAAAGAAAAGAAAGAAGACAACGGGGACACCAACTCCTAATAATCTTAAAGAGACCTACAATTACTAGACCTAAGACCCTACCCTTTTGACTTCCATTATCTCTACCCCTTTTTTCTTCAGTTCTAACAATCTTCCTCTAACAGCTAAAATATGATCGACATTATCTATTACTCCTATTCCCCTAGTCCAACCCTGTACAGAAACCAATTAACCAAAGAAATGAAATATCAATAAGAAATAACATAAGACATGACTCTAGAGGGTGGGAAATGAAAGAGAAATCTCCGACTAGGAACATTCCTCCCCTCACATGTATTCCAGGGACAGGCTGCCGTTAGTGTTTGGAATGAGTTCAGGTGAGGCAGCTGAATGGGTTGCAAAATCAGAATTATCAATAGTCTTGCATCTCATTTCCAGGACCTTCTTATGGGAATTGGAGTGCACGGATGGGCAAAAAGTTGGACTTGCAGCAGGCCGGTATTCCGGGAAGAGCCGACCGGACTTGTAGCGAACACCACATGCATTGCAGAGTGTTTTTGGCCCCATTGGCCCTGCCCTCCACTGTGGTGTCTTAGTTATCTCACAATGCATACATTTCCTAGCCGGTTGTGAAGCATTCTGATTGCTATCAGCTGGACATACTGGAAGTGGCATTTTGGTTTTCTTTTTCTTCTTAGGCTCCCCACAAGCTTGCTTTGGTATCTTGATAACAGGTTGAGACTCAGCAAAATTCTCAGAATCAGAATAGGCCTTGGTTGAGATGACATTAGGCTGCATGTTCTCCCCAACAAAAGAGGAAGCAGGGGAAATGAGCTGCATGGCAGGACGAGGATTGAAGGTTGCAGGGCGTGGACGCTTGCTGCGTGCACGCCCACATGGCACGGGGATGTGAATCTCAGGGCTGCGAGGAGCGGTGGTGGTCTTCCCACCGGAGCAGGAACTGCTGCTTTCCAGGACAGAAACTGGGCTTGATGTCTGGAATTGGTTATGCACTGAGTCCTCCTTTGTGGTGCATGATGATGGCTGCTCCACTTTCTTCATGGTGAGGCTGCCACCAGAGAATGAGTCCTCCACAAAATTGGATAGCCATTCCAATTGGACAATGTCTTCATACTGAAAATAACAACGCATTATTGATCAAAATCATATTTTTGCCTTTTAAAATTAAAATGCCAAGATTGACAATTCAAGCAAAGCATATACTACAATAGAACCACGTAGAGGATAAGCATAACACAAAAAAGGTAAATATGCTGAGATCTTCAAGTTGAATGAAGAATACGAATTTGTGCTCATGTATAAAAAAAAAACTATCATCAAACATGGGATGCTACTATTAGCCAGAGTGTGTGACCCACCTTTTCAATGTTCATTATTAATGTGAGGTGGGTCACATCACGTGATTATCACATGCAAAATCACGTGACATCCAATAATGATGATACAAATAATTTAGGCATCGCAAATGGGATGTGATGTGTGCCACATGTCACCGACACTATTAAGTGTTCTTCAAAATGACAAAAATACCCTTGTCTAAGAAATATTTAAAATTTTATGAATTAACACGATTTGAATTAAAAAAAAAAAAAAAAATCAACTTTGACAACCATTTACGAAAAAAACGAAAATCTCGGTGGCTAGAAAATTAGAAAATGTTGCTCTTACAATGTCTGCAAATTCGAATTTAGTTTAAATTTTAAATTTTTTTGGACTACTCGAGCCACTAATTATGAGCTAGAGACATGGCTTAACCATGCTCCCCACAAGTAGAACCAAATTTTCAAGCTACCCATTTCGCGTGGTGACAGACTGGCAGTAGCGCCCTTTCAAAACAGATAATCGGGTCCATACACACGAAACAATGATGTCATAATCAAGTAATCCAACGGCCATAAAGAAAGGTACAAAAAACCACTGGCCTTGATAAAATTACATAGCGGTTCATGGAATTCATGTGAACACGCGATAAAAATACAAAGTGGGCACGTGAAAAAACGGCACTCGTTTTGAAAACTCACCGGAACAGAGAGCTCCGCCGACAGGCCCGAAGCGCTGTTGCCGGAAAACACCGAGTCGGAGCAGGGAAATGACTCTGACTCAGCGGGCCAGATGCTAGCCAGCGAGTTGCAGTTAGCAGCGGCGGAGGAGGCGACGGAAGGCAAGGAGGAGGCGGCGCCGTCGACGTCCTCAACAGGGAAATCAAGGAGGTCGTCGATGTGGTCGAAGAAGCTTCCGCAGTCAATCTCGTCCATGAAGTTTGGTCCTACCATTTTCTCGGCAAGTGAAATTTTCCTGAGAAAATTCAAAAGTGATAAGAAAATTAGGTGATAGTAACAATGAGAGAGAGAGAGGGGGGAATTACAGCAGCTTTTGTTGAATGGAAGCATGTAGCGCATGTTAGCATTGGGGTATAAATCAATTTTGCAAAATGTTGAAATTTAATATTTTTCTTTAGAAAAATAAGGAAAAAGGCTTAAAAAGGTAACGCGGATTTAATTTTTAATTAAATTGTTTTCCTTTATTATGAAAAGAAAATCTGAAATTGAAGTTTTTTCAGTATATGAATGCAATGAGTGCAGCGAACGCCTGGTATATGCTAGAGACAGCTTGTCCCAATATTGTTCCATTTTATCCTAAAACACTTTTTCTTTTCTTTTTAACTTTCTCCTTTTTCTTTGAAGTAATCAAATTCAAGAAATAGAATTCCATTTTTGCACCTTCTTTTCTCGATAGAAAAAAACCGAATGCAATGTGAACATTTTGAAAGTTGAGGTTATGTTTAATAAGGCCAGCTAGCTAACCTTGTTCAATCTGGGTAAATTCTTGAGCTTTACACTTCAAATCCTGCACAAAACAAATTAAAAGAAAAACCAAAATAAGTAAAGGGAAAATCATAATCTAATATATGCAATGACCACAAATATTAAAACGTGATAAAATTTCCAAATTCCGTTTCTCAAAACTTTAGTTTAAAAAACAAAATGGTGAAAATGAAACACGGTATGACCCCAAATTTATTATTTTTCCTTCAAATTCAATTCTACCAAAGGGCTAAGAGGGAAGGACTAGTACAACTCAAAATGACTAGTGTATGTCCTCCAGGGTAAGGTTGAAAATTTAAACTCATGAATCAAATCAAAATATACAGGGAGCCCAAACCTGAAGCTAAAAGTCTTTTGTACCAGCTCAAACTCAAAAGGTGAGAACTTTAAGAGAGTGGTGAGTTCCTCAAACACAAGCAAACACACAGTGAGAGTGAGATAGAAGAGGTAGAGAGGATAGAGTGAAGAGGGAGGGAGGGTTTTTGAAAGGAGAGAGAGGAGAGTAAGGAATGTTTAAATGGGAAGAGGGGTTATGAAGGGCACAAATAAGAGAGAAAGAGAATGTGATGGGGCAATGGTAGGTGAGCCTCCTCCTTCATTGCTAGCTGTCTTTTACTATCCACCCACTGTCGTGATGTTGAAGTCTTCTCTATACACTTTCTCTCTCCTCAGATTACCCACAGGTCCCACACCTCTCACCCTTCTCTCTCTGTCCCCATCCCTTCACACCCAACACCCCCTCCTTTCCTCCATTCACGGATTTTCACCCCTAAAAAAAAAAAAAAATTCATTCCATTCAATTCATCTTCCCTTTCCCATATCACCCTCCAACCAAAAAAAAGAAAACCAAACAAAAATATGGGTTTTGAATTACCAACAAGAAAAAAATTGGGTTGAAAATTTGGAAGAAAAAAAAAAAGCACTTTTTTAGCTCTTTACCTTTTCTTCTTTGTTGGGTCTTGGTTTGTGGGAAGTGCAACCACTGATTTGAGAGAGAAAAAACAAATGGGGAGAAGAGTGAGAAACTGAGAACACACAGACTTTGCATAAATAGGAGAAGCTGTTGTGGACTTGGATTTGTCAGGCTTCACTGTTTGTGTTTAGCATTTGTTTTCTTAAATAAATCAAAAAATAATTTACTACATAGGTTGCAGTAAAGTAGTACCATAAAATGTTCAAAAGTCAGAATCTGTGAGTTGCCTCAGAGCGCGTGAAGCATTGGTTTCGGGTTCAAAATTCCATGATTATTCTGTATTCTAGGCTGGCTACGGTAATTTTGGATAGGGTTATTTATTATTTTAATATTTACTTTGATTCATTATTACACTTAATTTTTCAAAGAATTACGAGCATAGCCTAGTTTGGATTTTACCTAACGTGTCTTGACCATTTTAATTATCTGCTGCTCTTTAGAGAAAATTTATTTTTTCCTTTTTCCTTTTATTTTTTTTTTGTCACGAAAATGAGAGAGACAATCATGAAATTAGTCGCCGTACAATTTTGAAAACAAAAATAGTAGGGAATCTAGAAATCCAAGTTTTAAATAAAAACAAAAAATTCCTTGTTTTCAGCTGAAACAAAAAAAAAAGCTCTAGAAATTGATTTTTCTTTTCTTTTTTATAATTGGAAGTTGGAACAAACCCTATTTTTCTTTGTTGGTCAAGTAGCCTGATTTATTATTTTAAGAGTAAATATTTTTTGTTGGACCCTCACAAAAAATACGATCCTCACTTTAATCTCTTACAAAAATAAATTAGTCAGTTAGTCTCTAACAAATTCAAAGTAGACTCATTTAGTTGAAATCGTGGTCCTCACAAATTCAAAAAAGACTCGTATTAGACTCTCAAAAAGACTAAAATGAGTTCTCTTTGAATTTGTTAGAGACTAACTGACTAATTTATTTTTGTAAGGGACTAAAGTGAGGACTGTATTTTTGTTAGGGAACCAAAAAGTATTTACTCTTATTTTAAAAAACTGTCAATTTTCATAATCAAAACATTTTGTCGTTTTTTACTTTTACAATGTTGAATATACTATATTTATCAGTGTTATCAAATTCGGATACGATAAAAAAAAAAAAACAACAGTTTTCTTATTTGCGTGAGTCAATGATTAAATCGGAATCGTATAAAAATGTTTGAAGTTTTCGATTCTATGCGCGTACTTTTTTTTTTTTCTTGGTACATTGCCAGGAGGTATCCTCATTCAATCTTCTCCGGGCACCTGCCCTCGGGGTACGGCCCGTTTGGGCTAGCCCTTCATTGTAACAGTGGGTGCACTAAGCTTCGCAACCGGAGAAAGGACGAGACTAATCCTCCAACCGAAGATTTTTTAGCTTATCTTCTGGCCCCCAAAGATTTTGCAAGAAACTGCTTGAGGCAGGATTTGATCCCTGCACCAAGCAATCCCTTAGGAGCTCAGCTGCCAACTGAGCTACCCTTGAGGTTAACTCGCTAATCTGCTATGGCATGGAGGATGGAAATAGAAATTTATATCGCTAAAACGTCTTGAAATAAGAAGATTTAAACTTAAATATCAGCAGATTCTTAAGTGTCCAAACCAAAGAAGTATTAAAAACAAAATAAAACCATTCTGTTGTTTCAAAATTAGAACATCAGAATAGCATATCCAATATCAGCACTTTCTGTACGGGGGTACATATGAGTGATATGACTTTCATTTAAAAAATCATATTTGAATTTCTTTTTTTTCTTTTTCCTTTTTTTTGTACATATATCACAGGAGACAGGATATTTTTATTGCACTATCGCACCCAATCAATGGTGCATGGTACTATCCTAAATATTTTGCTAATTAGGTTATTGATTAGAGTGAACTTTTGTAACTTATTACAGTTTTTTTTTTTTGGTAAATTATTAATCATTAATATCCCGGATACCCATTCATTATATTTTTATATTATTGACCATTTTTTAGGATATGCATAAATCTTTTTCATTATTCGTTTATTACAATGGATCCTGACAAAGAAAAGAGTTTATATCGAATAAAATATATAATTCCATTTTCTTATATAAAAACTTAGATTCGTAAACGTAAAAGTACTGTGACACAGTCATTAAAATTAGCTAATATTAATAGTATGGTAGTATCTGTTACTCTGTTAGTATCAGTTAGTAAAAGTCATTCAAGTGAAACGATACATAAATACAGCAGTAAATAGGACTGATACATATTAAATAGGAAGGTGTGTACGAGAAAGAAATCATTAAAATAATATCAAAAATCTATTTTCTCAGTTTTTTTTTAAGTTTTTTTTTGTAATTTATAATTTTCCAAATAAGCTCTAACAAACTGTACATATTTAAAAAATGGGATAGAATATTAAAACAATCAATTAGAGTTACTACCAATAAATTTTACCATTAGATCGATTATATTGATCCAACGATTATATTTATTTACATCTTTGTATGGTTATGATTTCCATATTTAATGTAAAAGCATTAAATATGGGACATATAAAGGTGAAAATAAATATAAAGTATTAATTATGGGAAATCATAACCATACAAAGATAGAAATAAATATAATCATTGGATCAACATAATCGATCTAACAGTAAAATTAATTGATAGTAACATTGATAATAACGCTAATTGATTTTTAGTTTGTTACAATATCTTTCCCCCTAAAGAATTATTCCATTATTTTTTTTCTTTTCTTTTCTTTTCTTTTAAATGAGAATAAACTTCCATTGTCTACACTCTACACAAGTGATTCATTCCTTTAATTTGAATAATTTATTATAGTAATATTTAACTGAATCACTTATTTGACTGGGATTGGCACCATCCCAAATTTTTAAATTGGGAAGCTATAAGAAATAAGAATAGTTATTGATAACAATTCGATATAAGTGCATTGAATTATTTGATCACATGCAATGTCCAATCTGAAGATTGACATTATGCCAGAAAAACATGAGATAGAACCCGACCCACTTGAAAAATAGAAAATAAATTTTTTTTTATGTCCAATGTAAGATGATTTTTATTTGGCCTGACAGAATACACACTGCATTATTTCAACCTACAGGAACAATTTATATTTTAGTGATAAGATATCATTCGTATTATATATATATATAGATGTGTTAGTGGAGTCAACCAATATACACGTAAGTTCATAACCATGTTTGTACCGTCAAAAACACAAAATTTCCATAACTTTTATTTTATTTAATTTTCTGTTTAGCACTTTAGCTACCACATTTTTTTTGGCATTTATTTTTGGATTCTTTTTTCTGCAGATAATTATCTACAGTAAGTTCAATACGACGTCATCTTGGAACGGAAATTATGGTATTTTTCTAATCTTAATTTATTTCAGGGTTATAATAGTGTTTATTTTTTTAATTTTTTAAGATTTCAATACCAAAACGACGTCGTTTTGAGAATAAATACAAATAACTTATCTGTAATAACTGCGGAAACATTTTTTCCTTTATTTTTAGGGTTTGGTATTTGTCATTTTAAATGACATAAGTTATGTCATTTTAGGAGAGGGATAGACGCAGACAAACGGAAATCATGGGAGAGAGAAAGTGAGTGATTTTTTTAATTTAAAATTCAAATTTTCTGTGTCTGTATCTCTCTTAAAATGACATAACTTTATCTCTTTTAAAATGACAAACATTTTTCTCTTATTTTTATACTAAAATAATTATTACAACGTACTTTGATTGTGCTAATTTATGTAGATCATCTAATAATTCATATTTTGGTTTGTTACGGAATTAAAACTTTACATACGTAGGTGAACATTTGTCTCAGTAATTTTATGTTTTACTTATGATATATATTAAAGAGAAAAGTTATATTTATATTTTTTTTCTTTTACAATTAATTATTGGATCGAGATCAAATCAATAGTTATAAATTGATATTAAATAAGAGTCATTAATTTGATTTTAATCCAACAACCATGAAAATAATTGTTAGAGATTATAGAAAAAAATTATAAATATAACAACTCTGCGTCAAAAGGAAATTGTTTGATGTCTTCAATTTCTATCCCCATTTCTCCATTATTTTTTCCCTCCGCTTCCTTTGACATCTCCGCAGTACATTCCCTGAGTCATACATCAGGGTGGGAGTCTGCCCTAGGTTTAGTAAAATTTAATATATATAAAAAAAGGTGCATATTTTCTTATGTTGTAGGATAGTAGGAGAGAAAAAAAGTAGAGATAAGTTAAATGTGGGTCCCACATTTTAAATTAAAAAAGAAAAGAAAAATTAATTGGCACGGAAAACGAATTTGTGTAGGAAAAAGTTCTTATCTCATGTAGATGGAGATAATGATTTCCCATAAAAAAAGGGATTGTAGTTTGTACTTTAACATACGCACAAAAATTTCTTACACACACAACATTTTATATGATATGCACCTTTTAAAGCAAAAAAAAAAAAAAAAAAAGACTAAGGCACACAAAACGAATCTCTATAACATTACACAATCACTTTTCCTACAACATAACTCTTATAAAACTCAAAAT